GAAAGATATGGAGTCGAATTCTGTAAACTGTAACCACCGGATGAGCTTGCTGTGTGGGTGAACCATTGGTTCAACTCGAGAACTTTAGGTTGGGGTGTTACAAGCACCACCACTAAGAACTGGCCAAGGGAGACAATGTAACTTCGGTCGTACTCCTACTTAGAAAGGGAACAAGTGCTCATAAAATTGGACGTGTGTGTGTGTGTGGGGGGGGGGGGGGGGGTGGGGGGGGGGGGAATGATGGTCCGACATGGTCTCAATTCATCAATGCGGTAACCCTTTTTCTTGCCGCATATCCTAAGGACATCCTTGTTTGACCCCTTTCACTAGACTTATCCAAGAGAGCATGTGTGTCTTTGTAATAGACCAAGCAACCAAAAAAATCAAATGACGATAGGTGGTGAATCTTTTAAATAGAAGTTCAAATGGGGTCTTTCCCGTAGCTTTAGTAGAAATTCAATTGATAAGAACAAAACACATTCTCCTCGAAACCTAAGAGGGGGGCTAGCTTGGGAACATAATGCTCGAGTTGTGTCAAGTATATGTCGATGTTTTATTTACACCGCCCCGTTTTGTTGTGTCAAGTATATGCACTCGTGCATAATAGGTGCGCAACGCCTCTGTATTAAACTCATACTCATTATCTGCTTGAATGCGCTTAAGAGAAGTCCCTAACTGAGTTCGTACCATTTGAAAAAATTGCAGCAATTGGCGCTCAACATCTGACTTATAACGCAACAAATAAACTCAAACACCGCGAGTGAAATCATCCACGATTATTAGAAAAAATGAGCATCGCTCAAGGATGCAATCTTATAACCACCCTAGAGTTCCACATTAATGAATCCAAATCTTGTCGTACTCTTAATCATGCTAGACCGAAAAGGAATACACGGTTGTTTGGCCTCGAACAAGAGTGACATGGGCATTTATTTGAATGAAAATAAAATGATAACAAACTAGCAACATATGAATGTTTATCTGGCGAGGCATGCCCCAATTGTGCATGCAAGTCAACCTCTACCACCGAATTTCTTCGCTGAGCTGTGCAAGTCTGAGTTCTCCCAGTTTCAAATGAACACATGTAATAAAGGCTACCACAGACCTCCCCCTTCCCAGTCAATTTCTTGGAACATAAGTCCTGATGACGCGAAAATATCAAGAAATATCAAGGCCTTATGATTATTTCATTATTTTACACACATAAAACAAGTTACATGGAAATTCGAGGACATGGAGAACTCTACTCAAACAAAACTAGGCTGAAGAACTACTAGACCCACATGTTTCACTAGAATACTTTCACCATTTGGGATTCATACTGGTTCAATGTTGTTAGGGTACAATCCAAGTACCACATCGATTATGCAAGGGAAGGAACCCTTTTATATTAGTGTCCACCTGGCCCAATTAGTACGGGGCCTTTTGGGGAGGACACCCAAGAGTAAAACCGTGCTGGCTTGGCCCAAAGCGGACAATATCGTACTAATGAGCGACCCGGTTTCAACAAGTACCACATTGGTAATACAAGGGAAGGAACCCTTGTATATTAGTGTCCACCTAGCCCAATTAGTACGAGGCCTTTTGGGGAGGACACCCAAGAGTAAAACCATGATGGCTTGGCCCAAAACAGACAGTATCATACTAATTGAGCACCCCTGGTTATGACAAGTGGTATCAGAGCCTGGTTTGGTTCGGGGCGGTGGACGTCAGTTTGGTGGGACCCTCGTTCGGTGACCTCAAGATTTGAGATGTGCGTTTCTCTGGCGAGTCAAAGGTGATTCGCGTCTGTTTGGTGGATCCAGGAGAGATCAACGTTTGGGCTTTGCGGATCAAAAAGAGTTCCGCATTTGGGAAGCAGATGAAAGAGAGTTTTGCATCTGGGAAAGTCCTTGTACCGAGAAGCCCATCGATACAAGGCATCTGGAAGATCAAGATAATTGTTGGGGTGAGGACACGAAGTTTATGGTCCTTGTCTTGAGGGGAGGATTGTTAGGGCACAATCCAAGTACCACATAGTTTATACAAGAGAAGGAACCCTTGTATATTAGTGTCCACCTAGCCCAATTAGTACGAGGCCTTTTGGGGAGAACACCCAAGAGTTAAACCGTGCTGGCTTGGCCCAAAGCGAATAATATCGTACTAATGAGCGACCCGGTTTCAACAAGTGGTATCAGAGTCAGGTTTGGATCCAGGGCGGTGGACGTCGGTTCGGTGGCCTCAGGATTTGAGATTTGCGTCTGGTTTGGTGGATCCAGGAGAGATCCGCGTCTGGGTTGGCGGATCAAAGAGAGTTCCGTGTATGGTAAAGTCCTTGTACCGAGAATCCCATCGATACAAGACGTTTGGCGGATCAAGATAATCGCTGAGGTGAGGACACGAAGTCCGTGTTCCTTGGCGTAAGGGAAGGATTGTTATGGGACAATCCAAGTACCACATCGGATATACAAGGGAAGGAACCCTTGTATATAAGTTTCCACCAAGCTCATTAGTACGAGGCCTTTTGGGGAAGACACCCAAGAGTAAGCCGTGCGGGATTGGCCCAAAGCGGACAATATCGTACTAATGAGCAGCCCGATTTTGACAAATATTGGCATTAGTTTCTTTACCAGATAATAATGATTAATCCATGGTAATATGCTCATTACAAAAATAATCATTTAACCACTCAGACCTGCCATGTAAATTGTGGGATAGCGATCGTCCATTAATGTTTTATCTGGGAGACCAAAGAACTGTTTGAGCTGAGTAGTTGACCAACTATAAAACTAGCATTGAGACTTTGTGTCAAACTCTAATTGTGATGCCTTAGGCTCTAGGTTCAATCCATCTCTAGTCCCATCATTTGGATTGCAAGGTCAAAGCCTCTGCCTGCTGCCTTGCTTGTCTCGGGGAGGATATCTGACCAACTCAAAACATGTCTCCTTATAGTGTCCAAGCTTTTGGCAGTGATTGCAGCGGGGTCGTTCTCGTTGCTTCCCCATACTACGAGCAACAGAAGAATATGGTTCACCTTCGGCTATGAACGCTGCTTCTTTGGGTTGGGATTTTGTGATTACGAGAGATCAACTTTTGCTACTCGATGTTGAGAAAATATTGAAAGCTTCATACATATTTGGGGTTGGCTTCATGGACAAAACTTGTGTACGTACATCACCAAAAGCATCCTCATCGAGACCCATTATGAATTTAACAACCTTGAGCTCTCATGTTGCTCACACACTCGTCTTGAGACACCAACTCCGCAATGGCATGATCGTTAAAGCTTCCTCCCATAGAAAGTGCAACCGAGTATAAAATTAGGAGACAAAGCGCTTCTCTTGCTAAAGAAGAGTGGTAAGGCGACACTAACTCATAAGCACGGGAAGAACTTCCCTGACCAAAATGCTCACTGAGATTGGAACAAATCTCGCGAGCATGCTTGGCAAACTGATTCACCATAGTTTGTCAACGTCATTACCATTCCTATTAGCATGCCTCTTGCACCATTTGAGTTGATGAGTTTATAAATGGAAGGGAGATAAGGTTCTGAGTTGGTGGTGACGTGAGGTAGACCTTGACATTGAATACTTCGTCGGGACCCATGTTGAGCAAAGAAATCGATTGACCTGGAGCTTACAACTCTAATACTATGAAAAATAGTACGAGAAACATAAAGAAGACTTGGTTTAACATGGTTCTACCTCATAGTAGGTGAGGCTTACATCCACGATAAATATGCGATGATCTTGCTGAGATATACGGTTCAAAGTCATACACCTCTTTTTATAGGAGGTGGAGGACTGGAGGAGGGTAAGTTTGGGGAGGATATTGCGGCAAAGTAATTGGAGGGAAGGTAGTTGGTGGTGATCAATCAAATTCGGGTTGGAGTTTACATTGCGATCGGGATGAGTAGTGTTGTAGGAAGATTTTGATGGGGATGGGGAGGGGATGTTTCGTTTTTTGTTGTCAAAAGATTAAAAAAAATTAAAAATTGTCATAAAAGGATTAATAACATGGCACAATAAAAAAATTTGTATTGGTTGCCACGTCACTATATATTTATCACATCATAGACAATTAAGGAAAATCAATTAGAAAGTTCACTATTGAACTACTTCTTGTATAGAGTCCTTTTACTATATTTTAAAACATTGCTATTTCTCTTCCTACCAAAAAAAAAAAAACATTGCTATTTCGAGATATACATTGAACTTGTACCATAATATTAAAGGTACAACTTCAATTTGTACCATAACATAGAGATATAAATTCAATTTATATTAAAAGATATACGTACAATTTGAAATTGTACATAACTTTAAAGGTACAAGTTCAAGATACAAAACACTAAAAAAAAACACTAAAATACACATGCTTTGAAGCATGGTAAAATTCATTTTAATGTATTTTAAAAGTCAAACTTAACAATATTGGACTATTAAAGTGTTTTAGTCGAGGGTTGTCTATTACGCGACGAAAACAGTTCTTGCATCGATAGATCAACTTTTGATTGACTACCATTATTTACTTTTTCAACTATTTGTACTCTCCTATCCATTTATAATATTGTGGTGGTGATTATTTATTAGTCATAGTCAACAACTTTTACAAAGAGAATTCACACAATTCTTAACCCATGTGCTGTTCACAAAGAAAATACAAAGAAGCTGCAAAACAAAAAGTAAAAAGGTGCTTCCATGATCCATCCAACGGTCCAAACCCTCCATGATCAAATCCGCGATACACGATCGGCCGGGGCAGGAGACGGAAGCGAAACTTTCATCATGCGGGCCCCACCACCAACCACACGGGGGCGCTCAAAACGGAGAGATTTCTTTTTCTCGCCCCTCCCTCGACTTTCATAACCGCTTTTCCCCTCAGACTCCCTTCCCCCACTCTGCTCTCACACACACTGACACACAATTTATCCCTCCTCTCATTCTCTGCTCTCCGCATATTCACTTTCTCTTCAGTCTTCTCCTCCAATCACAAACTCCATTTCCAACTCTGCTCAGAAAATGACGAAGCTCAGATCAGGAAGAAACCTCCGCTCCAAGATGGCGACTGACCTGCTGCCTCCAGCAGCTGCGCCACTGAAGAAGAAGACGCGAACGCAGCGGCCTCGCCGACTTCGATCTCGGATCTCTCCAATTATCTTGTCATCGTCCAACTCTGCTGCTCTTCCGCTCAAGAAACCCGGCCGGACAATTAGTACAGCGTTGTCTGTGGATTCCAGTTCGTGCTCTCACCAGGTCGGTTACGAAGTCTCGTGCGGCCGGACTGGCAGAGGCGGTGCTGATTCTGCTGCCGGCGTGGATGCTGAACTGAATCGGAATAAGAGGAAATTCGTCGAGAGTGGAGATCCGGATGACAGGCCTGAACCTGAGCTAGCTGCGGGGAGGATCATCACGAGATATCACCGCAAGCGGAGGCAAGGTCCGACGTCGACGGCCGAGAATGCAGTGACGGAGGTGAGCGAGCTGTCTTGTGCGGCTTCCAATTCTGAGATTGGCGGTGCTGTCTCGGTAGCGAGAGCTCGGGAATGTAATAACGAAGCTGGTGATTCAAAGTCGATTTCCGAATCGGACGTTTCAATCGATGTGCGAAATCTGAGAAGCAGTAGTTGCAGAGAGTCCATGAAATTCTGCGCGGAGATGAGAGAGAACGAGGATGGCGTTTCCGAAGCTCATGAGTCGTGCATGACGCATAAATCTGGATTCGGAGCCGCGGAGCGCTCTGATGTGTTCAAATACGAAGCTGATGCGGTCTCCGTCGACGAGTCGGCGGTGGTTGATCGGAGGCCAAACAGCTTGGCGTCGCTCGAAGAGGAACTCGCTTGTTTGGAACAATTCTCTTGTGATGAAGTCACATCGGATTCCTCGTCCGGTCACGACACAGCATTCTCTGAGCTTCAGTCCGATGCCTTCCTGGATAGCTTCTCAGAGCTAGATTTCTCCTCCGATTACACGCCGTCCATCTTCTTGGATACCGGAAGCCAATTCTCTCAGAAATCAGATAGCGAGTCTTCTCCTTCGCCTACTTACTGCTGCCTTCTCGAGTTTAGGCAGCAATTCTGCCGGTCAACTGCTCCTCTGCACACCAGAACATCTGCTCCCTTTGCAATAGAGTGCCTGAACGAGTCCAGCGTAATAAGTTCTCCTCTGTTATTTTCAAATTTCGACTTTACTTCTCTGCTCTTGTCCTCCATTATTCTGGCATCATCCGTTCTCGTGTTTGATTCGCTCATTGCGTTCTGTTCTAGCTTTCCTTTCCAGTAGGAAAATTTAGTTTGGTGCCTCTCTTCACCATGTAGTCCCTACTATTCAAATTACTGATAAACGAAGAAGCGTCGAGTTCCCTCGGCTTTGGTATCTATGAATCTGGAATGCTGTGTGTGAAATAATCGTTTAATTTCCCCCAAATTTCAAGCTATAGAATGAAACGATCATCTGTTTCTGCGTGGTAACGCTTTCGCGATTTAGTATGCAAGATTCAAAGATGGGGACGATGAGCAGAGTTACAAGATGTTGAGGGGAAGAGAGAGCAGGAACCTAAATCTACATGACTATGCTGAATTCTACCGCTCCACGACGGAGTATGGCGACCTAATTTCCCAGCAACGGTTGCGGATGGTTGATTGGATTATCGAGGTGAGTTTCTCTATCTTCTGCTTGCCGTGCTTTGTTCGTGAGTCATAATTAATTCGTCCCAGCATTTCTCCTTCCTCTAATCCTCAGTATCAGGCGAATGTGACACGCTTCTTCGGTTTCCTAGTCTTATTACCATTCCATTTATAGCTGCCTACCAGAACTAGCATTCGGTAGCCAAGTAGATGTGCTTTGCTCATTTCGGTCTTAATTTCGAAGCCTTATTCTGTCTAGACGTGCTTTGCTCATTTGCCACTTGGAACCTTCGATTTGGAGTCGCGGAATGCCAGTAGCATGACTCTGTGCTGCTGTTATAGCATATCATTTTCCAGGCGGGTCTCGATATAGCTTTTAATTCTTCATATTTGGAATGTTCGATCTGTGAATAATGAGCAGGAATCAGCTGCAAAAGAGCTCCATCACGAGACAACATTCCTCGGGGTCAGCCTGCTTGACCGGTTCCTTAGCAAAGGGTTTTTCGGTAGTAAAAGGAATCTCCAAATTGCTGGAATAGCATGTCTTACACTAGCTACCCGGATTGAAGAAAATCAGCCATATAACAGGCAATGAATTATCTCAACCTAGTCTCATTCGGCCATCCATGTTCGATTCCAAGCATCAGTTTATCTTCCAGATATTGTTGTTATGACTGGTGAAATAATTTTGCTTCCATTTTGGTTTGAACAGCGTGAGGCAAATCAATTTCCGTGTAGGAAAGCATGCTTACAGTAGATGTGAAGTAGTGGGCATGGAATGGCTGGTACAAGAAGTCCTCGACTTTGAATGCTTCTTCCCCACAGTCTACAACTTCTTGTGGTAAATTCATGCCACAACATCGACTATCTATCAGCTATTCTCCTCCTTGTTTTCCTGATTCACGTCAATTCCCCTAATTCACAGGTTCTACCTAAAAGCTGCTCGAGCTGATGCAGAGGTGGAGCAGAGGTCCAAGAATCTAGCCCTGCTGGCAATATCAGACCAGGAGCACCTTGAGTATTGGCCATCAACGGTTGCTGCAACACTTGTCATCCTAGCTTGTCTAGATACCGGCCAAACTGCCCATTACAAGGGCGTAATTAAGGTACGCACCTCACTCGTGTATTTTAACTGTAGTGCAAAGTATCAACTAATTTCATAGCGTTACAAACATTTTTTTAACCAATCAGAGCATTTCTGCGATTCACTCTTTCTGATGAATCAACTTCTCCATTACCGTGCAGCTACATAACAGAACCAAAGCAAATGATCTGCATACCTGCGTACAGGTACATGTTTACAAGAAGCCATCTGTCCAACACTTAACTTCTTTGCACCATTTCTGGTTTTGCTGCGCATTTGGGATCCCAGTTCACTAATTAGTGGTTTTGCTTACTTCTTGTGACAGCGACTTTTTAGGCTGCTACAGAGAGTAGACTATCACAGTGCCACCGGTAAAAAGTAGTTGCAGGCCTTCCCAACTTTAGCTACAAAGAAAGATGATTTTTGAATACCTCATCAGATGGCATTTAAAAACCAGACTGGAAAAGGGGGAAAACAACATAAACCATTTGTTTTTCTGGATGTTGTCATTAAAGGTAGTAGAGGGTCAAAACTTGAAAAGAATAGCATAATGGACGAGGGGTATTCGGTGTCGTTATGGGTGTTGTTATTACTTATTAGTAGTAAGCAAGCTTTCTTGGCTTCTCTCTATCTCAGTGTGCGTCTATCTTGTACAACAAATTTCACTCTATTTCTGGCAACCTAGTTTCGGTTTGCTATTGATTTGCATTCAACAAATCAGATAATCGTTGAAACATAGTCTTCATTGCACCACCAGTCATGCCACCACTTTATAAACAATTTTCAAATAAACAACTCATGAACAATTTTGATTGGGTTAATATTTTCGTATGGCCTGAACTTTTACCAAAATAAACATCATGGCCTATCTTTTCGATCTATAACATCCTGGCCCGAACTATACACCAAAATAAACAATTTGGCCAGATCCGACTTTTGACCGTTAACTTGGACGGTCAAACGCGTTGACCGTTAGTCAACGCGCCATGTCACTGTCAAGTCAGCATAAAATATTCAAAATAATTCACAATTTCCACACATTCCCTAATTTTAAATTATTATAAATTAAAAAAATCATCTAATACCTTAGTTAAACCAAAAATAAAAAACAAAAAAAAATTAAATATTTATCAGATCTTCTGACTTGGTAGTGACGTGGCGCGTTGACCGTTAGTCAACGCGTTTGACCGTCCAAGTTAACGGTCAAACATCGGGTTTGGCCAAATTGTTTATTTTGATGTATAGTTCGGACCAGGATGTTATAGATCGAAAAGATTGGCCTGAATGTTTATTTTGGTCAAAGTTCAGGCCATACGAAAATATTAAGCCATTTTGATTCACACATTCTAAGTTGCAAACTTCACCAATCACTCAATCACTCACGTGTTTCATTTATTGATGTCACTCTTTTTCTTACCTCTTGTGTTTGCACTAAAACAATTTTTTTTTTTTTACTTTTCGATGTGCTCACACACTCCTTTTCCCACTCTTCAATCAACATCTTAGTTCACAAGTAAACGGAATCAAGCAAATTGGCAGCGTATGATCTGTTTGATCTTTGTTGTGTTTATTCCTACCTTATGCCATGACATTTACCACGTTAATGGGCAACGATGGGAACCCTAAGGATGTCTCCTTTGAGGAAGTCGATGCAATTCAATCTATTGAGGATCGATGGTGAGAGATCATGGCATTCTCATCCGCCCACGAAGTCTGGTTTGAGAATGTATCATTTGAAGATAGTCCTTATCTTATGTACGCAGTCGAATCGATAATAAACCAAGCACATAAATGAAACATAAGAAATAGATGAAATCGATCTCATAGATATCCAAATCAAGAGTTTACATAGTCAAAGAACCTCTAGGGTTTGCCAACCTACGCAAGCTAGGAACTAGATGCTCATGGGGGTAGATTTTTGGGGGAACATCGGTCGAAACTAGATCCCTGAATAACCTTGAAATCGGCGGTCAAAACACAAAATTGCTGGCTAAGTTGCTATTACTGGCGCCGATTTACCTGTCGAGTTTGGTTTCGCTCTAAGACAAGTGAGTCCCTCTATTGGCAGAATAACAACCTTCTAATGCCCCTATCGTTGGCTGTCAAACTTCTACCTCTAGGGCCCTATTTGTACTAGATAAGCAACATCATACAATCACAAACTATTGATTAGTTGAACCGTTCTTGTTCCCTCTGTTAAATAAGTGATTGCCTCACGCGTTGTCACATTTTACCCCACACTTTATTTGTGGAGGAAACTTTATTCCACTTTGTCATATAGGATTTTAAAATGTATATAAAAATATAGTTCAAACTTAGGTCACCTAATTCGTGCCTACCACCCAGCCGCTCCCGCTCCAATTCGCTAAAACGCGATTTTCTTGCAAAACGTCCATAATTCGCGGATTTTTAATTTTGGGAGCGCGAATTCCTAAATTAAGAGCGCGGTTTTCGGTTGCTTGTCGGGGTTCCAGAGTCCAGACTATGTGTGTGTCTCTCCTTTCCGACGATGGGTTCTAGAAAGAGCAAAGATGTTGCTCGCCTTCCATTGATGTCGTTGTGACAAAGGTACAGAGGCGACAACATGGGAGGGGTGTCAAACGGAGATGAAGCAGTGAAAGAGGGAAGGGAGTCGCATGCAGAAATAGAGGGAGTAAGTGCAGCCGATCCTCATAACACAAGTAGCAAATGGCATGATCACGCTCAAATCAAATCTCCCTACTACCAAAGTTCTCAATATCATATTACTGCCCATTGTGACCCTGTGGCACTACAGCTGGTGGCTGCTGACCTCTAGTGAAGGCTTCCCAAGCATCCAAGCGAGGGCTCAAACTCTTCCACAACTAATGCCTCTCCTGAAGCATCAAGCTATTAGTCTCGACCCTAGTGTAAAAGATGTCAAACTGGGACTCCATGTAAGCTTTGGAGCTCAGCATATGACACCCAATATCAAGACAACATGGATACTAGTTCATCTGTAGCGAAGGAGGGGGTGAAAAAGAGGTTCAGGCACCGTCAGTCAAAGGAGCATAACATCATAGCAAAGGTGGAAGATGACTCGGCCTGTGGAAGAGATCGATGTGCGGTCTCTCGTTCTTAATCCAAGCTAGGTAGGAGGAGTGATGAGGTCATCAAGACCAAGCTTACAACTTCACAAGAGGGTCCAAGTACACGTCTAAAGGCTAAGAGGCTAAGGGAGAAATTTGTGAATTATTTAGATTCATCATTTTGATAACATGAACATGGACCAATTCAAAGGAAGGCCGATCATGGTGTTACAATACATTGAAGGAGATCGAATGGCCTTGGAGAAGGAAGGTGACGGCCATGAACTAGAAGGGACTCTTCATAGTGTGAACACAAGGTGTGAAAGAAATGGACGTGAACAGAATATCAAGTGTGAACACAAGCATGAAGGGGGGCAGAATTGAAGGCTTGATTTAAAGAGAGTTAGTTAGTTGTTTTTTACTTTGTCTTTTTCTTATTTGTTAAGGTTTCTATATCCTTTTTAGAGTAGGATTTCATTGTCCCTTTTAGTTTGTTTTTGGGTTCTTAAGCCTGTACATAGGGGACGAACCATTGTAATGAGATATCAAGTTTTAGTTATCAATCAAGTGAATTTCAAGTTAAATTGAGTGTGTTTGTGCGAGTCTTCTGTCAACGAGGTCCATAAGAGGAGTGCAAGTCTCTTATCAACTAAAAACCGCATCTAGTTTTGGTGAGCATCGACTATATCGGTTGGCCCTTCCCACAGGTTTGAATTGTTTGATCAATTTTCATCCTATCCTTTTAATTTCTTGTCATTGAAGAAAGAAGAAAACCATAAAGAGTTCGACGTTGTGCAATTCTTATTCTTTTGTCCGAGTTCGAGATTTCTTTTCGGATTTGGGTCATATCAAGTGGTATCAAGAGGCCAGTTCAAGCACAAAGGTGAGAAGTTCATTGAAGAAGTTCGTGGCGTGTTCTTGAAGCAATATTGGGGAGTCTAAGACAACAAGAAAGTGAATCTTGGTCATGTCTTGGAGGTTTCTTGTGCGGCAAGAAGACATTCTTGAAGGTGATTTCGTAAAGATTTGGAAAACAACAATGGCGGAGAATCAAGCAAATCAAGACGTAGTAGCAACAACTCTACAACAACTAACCGCACTACTAGAAACCTTCAATGCTTGGTTCGAAGCATTGGAAAGGCGCAATCGAGAGCAACCTCAACCGCGCGAACAAGAACTACCCCAACCCCAAACTGTCGAGAACATAAACCCTAACCCTAGGGGTTGACAAGAATATGGAAGGGGAGGTCGAGCTATACAACGACCTATTTTTGAGCATGTAAAGCAACATCAACCTTTGGGAGGGTAGCGTGTAACAAGGAGGAATGTTCAACAACATTATGACGAAGAATATTAAGGTGAGGAAGATGACGATTTGGAAGGCATTAAGGTAACCATCCCTTCATTTAGAGGGACGATTGACCCGAATGCTTATCTTGATTGGGAGCGCAAGATGGATCTAATATTTGATTGTCATAATCATTCAAAAAATGAAAGGTAATCCTAGCTTCTCTCGAGTTTACAGATTATGCACCACCCCGAGAGCCTACCTACCCATCTACTACGCAATTTTATCAAACATGCCCCTCTGCTATTTTTTACATCAAACATGTCCCCCTATAATTTGTAAAAATGAACAAACATGCCCTTATGTTAGAATTTTCATAAAAAAACCGTCAACCACAGTCGAACCTTGGTTTGGGCGACACAAATGTCTAAAATATTCTTAATAATTTCATTTTAGAATTGTTTTTTTATAGCCAAATACCTCTAATAATTTCACTTTAACGAGACTTAGAGAAATAAATGAGGGATTTCCCCCCAATTTTGCCAATGTCAGGTCTTGTGAATCTTGTTTCAATCGTGGTTGACCATTTTTTAATGAATTTTTTTCCATAAGTGCATGTTTGATAATATTTTCAAAGCATAGAAGCAAGTTTGATGTAAAAAATAGGCTAAATACATTTGCATAGCCATAACTTTCGAATTTGTGACAATAAAAGCCACTTTTTGAGAAATACACAAAATAGCAAATTTTTTGGGGATTGTATGGCAAATATAGTAATTTCCGTTATAAACTTTTTTTGTTTTGTAGAATTCCGTTATAAACTTTAACGGTGGTAGAAACTTCATCAATTATGTTAACGTTGAGCTAACTAGTATGCCAAATCATCGCACACGTCAGATAAATCGCCCACATGTGCCACAACATATTTTTATTAAAATTTCTCCGTTTTCGTCTACCTCATTTTCCCTTATCCCTCCACTTATGACCTTTCGATAGCTTCCAAATTCTTCGACGGCAAAGTGGGGAAAAGGAGATCGGGAATGTCACTGCAAAATCCAGAACCACCAAAAATGGTAAACGCCATAGCACCAACCGCCGTCGAGGAAAAGTGGGTTCTGCAATTAGGGGTTTGGCAAAGGGCTCGATGTGCTGCTTTCGCGGTGGCCATCGATTGTTCTTGGAAAGCAATGGAGTAGAAACCCATCAAGTTGATTCTTCATAGCTTGTGTCGAGTTACAAATGCATAAAAAATTAAAAATTAAAAAAAAAATAACATATGCAAAAATAGGGATGGCAAAAATATCCGTAACCGTGGATATCCGCCCGAATCCGGCCTAAT